TTATTGCTCCAACGAAGTTTCGTGATAATTTGCAGTAATTTGTTTAAATTCACTCTATCTACAATGATAATATACAAGGTAGGAAACACGAGGTGCCATTTTCGCCGACATGCTCTCATTCAACACAACTTTTTCCACGAAATTCGAACTCCAACGGAAAATAAACATGCAGGATCGTAGAAATAGGGTAGCAGCAGATATAGAAACCAATGAAGCTTTCCCAGATAGAGAAACGAATCCCACAGACTTTGACAAACTCGAAGAATGTAATCCAAACGGACCGAGAATACGCTCGCCGAAGCAGCCGGGCCAATCAACGCGCGGCCAAGAAAATGAGGCCTGGGCACTGTACAAAAAAAAATTCATCCCGGGAGTCCTGAGGTGACCTTTCTGGGTACCGATATATCATTTGCCCAAAGCCACCCTACCCTGCTGAAAAAATACTTAATAGAAAAATCTCTGGTGTTCTTTTTTGAATATACCTTCGCATTTAAGAGAAAATCTACTCAAAAGTTGACTGATTTACCGGAAGTTAAAGAAAAATTTTCATTTTCGTTACTAAGAAAAAGGACGGCAGGAGCGCAATTTGACTCCTCTTTTGGGCATCAAGTTCTATTGATGTGCTTAACAAAATCTATTCACTGCTTGGATTCATTGACAAACTGCCGCCCCTGTATGTCCAACTTAATTTTTCTTGCTTCTGTTAAAGCTTTGATGACTAATATTACTTGCTTCTTGTGAATATTTGTTATGTTCTTGAAATATACTCCGTTTCCCAGGGCTTATTATTGTTTTAAATTTACATTTCATCGGTGTGTCTTCTCACCTGATATATTCTGACAATTTTGCCGGGAGAGTAAAACGTTTTCTTGGCCCCTAATCCTCTGGTCTGTTTTTTCTGCCAATTTCTTTCACTTTACAGAAGCAATTCTTTTCAATTTTGAATAAAACTCTTCTTCAATCTTCATACTTCGGCGCGCTTCACTGCATTTTAGCTGACACTGATCATGAGTAACGCATCTTCCGGAAATGCGTCACACCCAGCAACTGGTCACGTATCAGAATCCAAGGGGGCTATAGAGAGGTCATTTGGCATTTTCTTAGGCTTCCACGAGCATTTTACACAGCGGTGATTCAAAATGGCGGCAAGGTCAGCGATGGTAGTATCGAGCAAAAACAGTTGATTTTGAGAGGAAAATAAGCTTTTTTACACCGGAAAAGCGTTAATTACCGCGTGACCGATTTACCTTGACTTACGGGAACCAGTTTTTTGGACGAATGGATCATTATTTCTTCGTGAAATTTGGCAAATACACAAAGAGCATGTTAATGAACAGATCTGTGTTTGACCAAAGGTTAGAATTGCCGTACAGCTGAGTTATTGATGTCAAAATGTGGATCAAATTACAAAATAGCAAATTGTACCCTAGAGGGTCGATTAATTGGAGCTGTGTCGTGGTCAAACACAGAATTATTCTATCTTACGTCCTTATTTGTGTTACATTTCTTTTTTAACAATAACTCTAAGGATTCTTCTGAAATTTTGATTTTTCTCTTTCCGTGCCACCCTAGGGGGTAATTAAATTAACACCTTTTGGGTGACATAACATAGTTTATTTTGATATATTCTAGTTCCTCAAGAACTGAGGAATACTGTCAATGTAGTGACATATAGATAGTATCCATAAAATAACCACTAAAAATGATGCAAAAATGTGCAAAATTTGCTGGTGCAGATACGGTTATTGTTAGTCAAGTTGTCAGTTCTCCAGTCGCTTTCTCGTAGTTATTTTTGCTTGATCTCGTCAATAAATCGTTTGTAGGCGTTTGTTCTAAGTAAGTATACCAGCTTTCTAAGTAAGGCGTTGATAGTAGCCTTTAGAATACGTTATACATGTCGCGGGGTCCGAGTAACGCGTCCAGGCAAAGACAAACGCTTCTACTCGTAGGACTAGAGCGTGATGAGTCGTTGACATGATGATGACAGGACAATCGCCGTTCAGCCAATGGTAATTTGCTTTTCCTGGGAAGAGCAAGGTCAGTTGCTCCCAAAGATGTCTACAGATCGTCTATTTTCTTCTCTCCAGCGCCCCCCCCCCCCCCCTTGCGCTAGCGGTAAAAAAATCCCCTGCGGTATATATTTTATCACCCGCGCTCGACGGACTTTGAAGAGAATATAGAGGGTCTGTGAACAGGCTATCGTCCATAGTTCCCTTGGATCCAAGAGGCCAAACTGGGACTCAGTCATGCTGACAACATGGCGGACAGTCACGCTTCCGGCCAGTAGCTCTTACATTATCGTAGAAGCAATTAAGATAGCCAAATGGGATTCTTTACACTTTAAAATATGTACCATGGGGCATATATTAACCAAATGTCAGGTAATATTGCCACGCTTTAACGCATATTTCATAAAAAATTCAATAGCACACAGAGAGCATTTATTGTGTGGAACCTTCTTAGTCCTGACCTTGCAAAGACATCCAACGTTCAAAATTGCACTAGAATGGCCCTAATCTGACAAACTACGCAGTTTAGATTTTCGGGCTGAATTTCCACAAACAATGCCTCCAATAATAACGATCATTTTTTGTATTATTAAGACGATTTTAATATACTTTTACTTCTTAAGTTTTAGTTAGCTTTAAATGCACGACCCAATAAGCGGCAACGCATTGTGTTGAAAATATAAAAGTTATTGTATTGTATTGTATTGTATTGTTGCGTTCAAGGTACGAGAACGCAACCCCTAATTTGTGTTGGGTGTTCTGTGCATTATTGGGTGCCCTGTGCAATTAATAAGAGAGGTTTTTTCGAGATTGCATTTGTCGTCGTCGTCGACACACATTTGCCTCGCTTTGAGGCGCTTGCTTACGTTTTGCCTCACATTGACGAACTAACTCACGTGGCGATTCGTGCGTCCTCAAGCGTTTGCTGAGGTCTTTTATTCGGTCTTCGTAAAGCGTTCGTATCTTAAAAGTTGCTGAATCTTCGTAAAGCGTACATATTTCAAGAGTTTGCTGAAGGTCTACTATCGATCTGTGTTTGATGAATCTTTCAAAACGTTCATCTTTCAAACGTTTCGGCGGCCGTTGTGCCACAAAGTAAATCTACAGAGTTGTGTAGCTCGGCGGACGTTGTGCCACAAAGTAAATCTACCGAGATTTGAAGCTCGGCGGCGCCGTTTCATCATGACTTGTGATATTTTTGGCACTGGACAAACGTACATTTTAGGTCTATGTTATTTATTCGGAAAAACTTATAAACAGCCCACAGTAGCTCCACTCAAGTCTCTGAAATCACACTCGGCCAAACTACTGCACTTGGTGAGACGGACCATACGATATCTCTAGCCTTCAAGGCTTTTTCCTAATGATACACAGTTTAAATAGAGGTTTCGCAGTAAGCAATCCTTACGTTTAAAATATGCCATGATTAAAGCCCGGTTTCCATGATGATCGCTACACCATCGCTGTGATCGCAGCGATCATATGAAACCACTCTTCAGGGATCGCAGCGACAACTTTTTTTTCTCAATGATCGCAGCGATCACAGCGATCGTAGCGATCATATGAAAACTGGGCTTAATCTATCGCAATAACTATCCACCCTCCCTCCTCAACTGCTACCTATACGCTATACAAACATATCGAACGCACTCTTCTAAGCTTCGATTACTCCTAGTATTGTTGGGTAAATCGTCCGCCATTCTGAAGTTACGTCAAGGCGCCGCTGCGAAAGGCGCGATTTATTATGTAACCATAACAATGCTGATCTTTTCAAGTGTGAAGATGTTTAACAATATTTTCGCGCGAAAGCTCACCTGGTATTTCATTGATGTTTATATAATAACTGAATTTCATAGATTGGAACATCGGAATCTCTACTTAATAGTTATTTCTTCATTCCCCAGTTCCAATATATATATTAGTACGACCTATCGTTGAATATGCAACCCCAGTGTGGTGTCCATACCTAGTAAAAGGCACACTAGCAATTGAAAAGGTCGAGAGGACTAGGGCATCTCGATCGCCTTGCGCTTGGATAAAAGCGTGCAGGAGAAATGGAGTATGAGGAAAGAATCAAAATTTTGAACTGACCCACCTTAGAGAAGCGACGACAAGTTCATTTCACTTATTGAATGCTATACAATTGTTTTTCGCATAAATAACCTGGAGTTTTTCGAACCCACTCTAGATAACAGGACACGAGTTAACCACTCTTTTTAAATTAGGCGTGAATAATGCAGGGTTAACCCCTATAAATATTCATTCTTTATTCCCATAGTAAAAGAATGGAATAATTTAACGCAGTATGTGGTTGAAGCAGAATCTTTTTAAGGTGGCGCGAACCTATTTATATGCGCGTTGGTTATGTTTTTGAATCGTTTTTTTCGGCAAGAACAGTTCAACCGATTTCTATGAGTTTTGACACCCTTAATAAAGAATAATTTAACTTTAAGAAAATGTTATTTATTTTCTTGTAGGTATAAAACCGTTTGAGATATCGGAATATGTTTAAAACCGCCTTTTTACGAAAAATGTATTAACTTCGAAACCTTACCACAGATTTTTCTCTAACTTCAGCAAATAAGCCGCCTCAGAGCTCTCTAGTTTTATATCTGCAAGTTTGGAGTCAATCGTGACCGTAGAACTCGCTGCACAAAATGCTGGTCAACTTTGACCTTAAAATGCAACGCTAACACATTTCTGAAAGTTGACGCACAAATAGAAGAAGAGTGTACGTGCCGACGGACTATCTCCTATCTACAAAGGTATTCTTGCCCAAAGCTTTACTGCAAGAAACTGAGTAATCAGAAACCTACGACGAATACAGTTCGCAACACAAGAAGAACAACTTTAAAGAACTCCTATTTATCAAACGTGACCTACCTCAGTAAATCTTACATTAAAGTTTTTAATGATTATCTTCCCTAAGAATCTTGTTTCCACTTTCTTACTTTCAATGTTTTTTTTTCTCAATGTTAAGGAAAAAGCTTCATGGACAACATCTTGAATATTCTACAGACCATTCATATTGGTGAAGTCGTTGCAACTTTCCTTTTCAACACTGGACGTCTTATAAAAGCAGTATACATCTTTAACGAATGTTTGGCGCTCCTTAACAGCAAATCCCTAGAGACGATCAAAGAACTTTCCACACCACGAGTTATCAATGTATACCGTAAACTTCTTCATGGCTATACTCTTATGTACGATCATACCCGTGCGATAGAATGTGGTAAAAAACTTTATGTGACGCTGCACGATAGTGGCCACAAAGAACAAGAAGGGATAATATTACTTGTACTAGCGAGCATCTACTGTAAAAGAAGCAAATACGAGGAAGCAAAACAGTTTATCGAGAAGGCACTCAGCATCATGATTGAGACTGGGAACAATCAGGGAGTTGGAATATGTTACGGAATTCTAGGAACTGTTTTTCTATCTGTTGATCAATATACCAAGGCTGAAGAATACCTTCAGAGAGCACTCATGATCAACAAAGAAATCGGTGACAGAGAAGCAGAAGCATCTGCTTACGGAAAGCTAGGAGTTATGTTCAGATATGTTGGTCAATATACCAAGGCTGAAAAATACCTTCAGAAAGCACTGGTGATCAACAAAGAAATCGGTGACAGAGAAGGAGAAGCAGCAGATTACGGAAATCTGGGAACTGTGTTCCAATCTGTTGGTCAATATACCAAGGCCGAAGAATACCTTCAAAAAGCACTAGTGATCAGCAAAGAAATCGGTGACAAAGAAGGAGAAGCAGCAGTTTACGGACATCTAGGATCTATGTTCCTATCTGTTGGTCAATATACCAAGGCCGAAGAATACCTTCAAAAAGCTCTAGTGATCAGCAAAGAAATCGGTGACAAAAAAGGAGAAGCATCAAATTACGGAAATCTAGGAAATGTGTGGCAATCTGTTGGTCAATATACCAAGGCTGAAGAATACCTTCAAAAAGCACTAGTGATCCAGAGCGAAATCGGTGACAAACAAGGAGAAGCATCTGCTTACGGATGTCTAGGAACCGTGTTCCAATATGTTGGTCAGTATACCAAGGCTGAAAAATACCTTCAAAAAGCTCTAGTGATCAGGAAAGAAATCGGTCACAAACACGGAGAAGCATCAGATTACGGAAATCTAGGAACTCTGTTCCAATCTGTAGGTCAATATACCAAGGCAGAGGAATACCTTCAAAAAGCGCTAGTAATCAGGAAAGAAATCGGTGACAAACAAGGAGAAGCATCTGCTTACGGAAATCTAGGTACTGTGTTGCAATCTGTTGCTCAATATACCGAGGCTGAAAAATACATTCAAAAAGCGCTAGTGATCAGGAAAGAAATCGGTGACAAAAAAGGAGAAGCAGCAGGTTACGGAAATTTAGGAACTGTGTTTAAATTTGTTTGTCAATATACAAAAGCTGAAGAATACCTTCAGAAAGCACTCGTGATCAGGAAAGAAATCGGTGACAGACAAGGAGAAGCAGCAGATTGCCGAAATCTAGGAAGTGTGTTGCAATCTGTTGGTCAATATACCAAGGCTGAAGAATACCTTCAAAACGCACTAGTGATCACGAAAGAAATCGGTGACAAACAAGGAGAAGCATCTGCTTACGGAAATCTGGGAACTGTGTTTCAATCTGTTGGTCAATATACCAAGGCAGAAGAATACCTTCAAAAAGGTCTAGTGATCAGGAAAGAAATCGGTGACAAACAAGGAGAGGCATCAGATTACGTAAATCTAGGAACTGTGTTTAAATCTGTTGGTCAATATACCAAGGCTGAAGAATACCTTCAGAAAGCACTAGTGATCAGCGAAGAAATCGGTGACAAAGAAGGAGAAGCATCAGCCTTCGGATTTCTGGGAACTGTCTTCCGATCTATTAGTCAGTTTGACAAGGCGAAAGAATACCTTCAAAAAGCACTAGTGATCACGAAAGAAATCGGTGACAAACAAGAAGAAGCATCTGCTTACGGAAATCTGGGAGATGTGTTTGCATCTGTTGGTCAATATACCAAAGCTGAAGAATTCCTTCAGAAAGCACTGGTGATCAGGAAAGAAATAGGTGACAAACACGGAGAGGCATCAGATTACGTAAATCTAGGAACTGTGTTTAAATCTGTTGGTCAATATACCAAGGCTGAAGAATACCTTCAGAAAGCACTCATGATCAACAAAGAAATCGGTGACAAAGAAGGAGAAGCAACAGCTTACGGACGTCTGGGAAGTGTCTTCCTATCTGATAGTCAATTTGACAAGGCGAAAAAATACCTTCAAAAAGCGCTAGTGATCAGGAAAGAAATCGGTGACAAAAAAGGAGAAGCAGCAGATTACGGAAATCTAGGAACTGTGTTCCGATCGGTTGGTCAATATACCAAGGCTGAAGAATACCTTCAAAAAGCACTGACGATCTCTGAAGAAATCGGAGACAAAGTTGGTGTTGGAGTTTCATACTTAAATCTGGGAAACCTTTGTCGAGAACTTCAGCTTTTTGCAAAGAGTAAAGAATTTGCTAATAAAGCATTTGAGATAAGTTACGAAATAGGAGACCTTGAATTGCAGTTTAACAGCCACCTTACCGTTGCACTAAACGCGATAGCGGCGGGAGGAAGCATAAATGAACTTGTGGTGCGCAATCTCTATGAAAGCATTCAAAAGTGCGAAGAAATGTTTGATTTTTTCAGAATGAAAGATCAATTCAAAATTTCTTTTTTTGATGAACATGTGTTCCCTTACCTTCTTCTTGGTAGGTTGTTGACTGCTAGAGGCAGTTATTGTGAAGCTCTTTACGTTGCCGAGCTTGGACGGTCCAGAGCACTTGCAGACATACTGTCAGATAAGTACTCTGTGGAAAAAGAGCTATCAGTGAACCCACAGTCAGGGGTTGGTGTTGAGAATATCATGAGCAAAAATGCCCTTAGTTCCTGTTTATACTTATCCTGTTTTTATGATGTTATGCATTTTTGGATCCTTAAGCCAAACAAAACCATAGTTTTCCGAGAAACGAAACTGCTCATGGTTATGAGGAACGTGGAGAAATTGCTCTTTCCCCTATGAGCTCGTGCGGAACCCCGCACGAAGAGGACTATTTACTGACGATGGCTGAAATTTCACAGGTTCGACTGACTGCCAAGCTGGTTGTCCTTAGTTGTTGTCATAGTGCTCATGGCCAAGTGAGAGCTGAAGGAGTTGATGGAATTGCTCGAGCATTTCTAGCATCGGTTGCACGCGCCGTGCTGGCAACACTGTGGGCTGTAGAGGACAAAGCTACCATGCAGTTTATGAATCATTTTTACGAGCACCTTGTTTGTGGTGAGAGTGCAAGTGAATCTCTTCACCAGGCCATGAAATGGATGAGAGAGAATCGCTTCTCTGACGTTGAGCAGTGGGCGCCGTTTATTCTGATTGGAGATGATGTGACATTCAAAGGTTAGTAATTGACACCATTTTGGGATATTGTTAAGTTTTACGTATTTTCCATCAAAAGATGTACAATTTATGTTTGGGACAACGCATTCTGATGTGAAATTGTGTTGCCGGAGACATTGTTTTGTTAGTCCCATTATCTGCTTTGATATTCTTCTCTGTACAGAGAAGATAGGAGAACGAATCTCCAATTCATTTTATTTTGTGAGTTTCTGCTGAATATTTCGTAAAGCATGCCCTGAATTCCCCATTAAAGAACTAACTGAAATAAAAATGCAGAGAACGTTGGCTGAGATTCCAAACAACATGTGATACTAATGTCCACCACAGAGAAGAATAGTCGGAGTCAAAAATACTTTTCTTGAGGTGATCATTTGATAAAGAAAAACCTTGAATTCAATTTAAATTAGATTCATCCTTGGGGATCCAGAGCAACTCAGAGCAACACGATAATTACGGGTGAGCTCAGTAGAGTGTAGAAGCAGAGTGGAAGATCTCTGAACACTTATTCTGGCCCAAGTAGTTCGAGAAGCATTTGGTTTCGCAGCCTTTCTTCTCTGGCAAATGTGCAAAGAGCAACTCCCTTTTGATCGCTTTTTTTTATACTGACCATTTTGTCGATAGCCCTGAGATCTCAGCGTTAGCTTGAGATCTTTGGCAGAGCTGAATATTGTAGCGGTAGCAATGGACGATTAGCGTTAGCCAGCGATAGCGACTGGTATTTCAGCGATACCCCTGACATCTTGGCAGTAGCAACGAGATTTTAGCGATAACAAATTACGGTTATGACGCACGTTTTTCGATAATCCTGAGATTTTATTAACGATAGCAGTTCGATATTTAGAGATAGCGCTATGATTTTAGAGGGAACAACTGGAAGTTGTATAGATGTCATTCGATTAAACGATTACACGAAAGCGACCCGGCATGATTGGCCTTTCCTTTTGCTTTTTTTTTGCAGGAGTTTTTAGTAAAATCAATCTGAACGATGGCGAAGATGCTGATTGAAACAAGGAACTTGTGAACATGAGTTATCGTGTTATTTAACTTGTTAAAAATATTAAGTAAATGTTAACTTTTAAAAGTGGCCTAATTCCCGATTTTGCAAGTGGACAGGTGAAATTCGTACATTTTAATGTAGGTGCCATTTCAATATGTTACAAGCGAGGTTGAAGCAGGAGACGACAGCGCGCAGCACACCTCAAGGGGGAGGAATGGAGGGGGGGGGGTAGGGTAGGGAGGACAAACAGTAGGTAGTTTCTATCCAGACGTCAAAGTTGCATTGACTTCTTTCTCGCCTTTTACAATATTCGGCGCCTCTTTCATTCTGCGTGACTCCTGCCACCCGTCAATTCTACACCTTCAGTACCATGAACCTGATTCACTTTGGTTTGAAAGACTTGTAAATTTGCTGATTACGAACGTGATTATCAAAGGCAAAATAGATATTAAGCTAAGTCAAGTGTTCAAGCTAAGTGTTCTGTTGGATAATGTTCTGTGGGTCAATACCGCAGACACGATTTTTTTAGTAGTTTTTTTCTAATTAGCTCGTATAGATAAAATAGTGATAATCTTTTTTATTAGAAATATATAAGACGAAGAGACCTAGCAAACGTGATTGAGGACAATTGTGAAAATTGTCATTTATGTCCATTTTGATATTTAATTTTATAGGTAATAGGTTTTCATGCACGTTCACAGACAATTAAGGTAATTCTTTTAAATATTTATTAGATTAATTATCTTTTTGAGTATTTTACATATTTTTATTCCTTTAAGAATTTCCGAAGCTAAAGCACTCATCAAGCAGCTTCGTTTCCAGGGACAAGGTTACTTAGTGGCTAAACCGAAAGTCTATTTCACTGTCAAGCGAATCCAATGTACAAAGGTTTTTTTTAAAAAGCGTCTTTAATTTTTTTTTTTAACTCGTTATCAAATTTTACAGAAGAAATTCCACTAGCTGGATGCCCTTTCTACAATTGAGAGGGCGGATATTCTTGCTGAGCTCCGTCATTAGCAACTATGTTCATAACCAAATGACCGTCCTACCTGATTACAAGTCAGTGATAGATAACTATGAGTTAATCGTCAAAGCCTTCAGCCGAATGTGTGTGCGGCTCACGTCAATAACTTTTTTAGTAATTTGGTGGAGTGTATTGATTTCAGTGAGTTGAGTGGCGCTACTGTGGGCTGGTCACGTTTTTCCGAATAAATAACATAGAGCTAAAATGTTCGTCTATCCGGTTCAAGTCATAATCATGGTGAAATGCCGCCGCCAAGCTTCACATCTCGGTAGATTTACTTTGTGAACAATGGCCGCCTAGCTACACAACTCAGTAGATGTACTTTGTGGAACAACGGATATGCACCAGGAGTCGCACGCATTTTCCAAAGAAAAATATGAAGGCTTAATCCAAAGTAAAATTATATTTTACTCAGGGTGTAAGCTTTCAGCAAACTTTGAAAGATGAACGCTTAAGAAGATTCACTGAACACAGATCGATAATAGACCTTCAGCAAACTCTTAAATATGTACACTTTACGAAGTTTCAGCACACTTTTAAAAGATGAACGCTTTACGAAGACAGAATAGCAGACCTCAGCGAACGTTTGAAAGATGAACGCCGAGGACACACGAATGACCACGTGAGTTTATAGCGCGTCAAAGTGAGACAAAACGTAAGCAAACGCCTCAAACCAAGGCGAATGTGTGTCGACACAAATGCAATCTCAAATAACCTCCCTTATTAATTGCACAGGACACCCAATAACGCACAGAACACCCAACAGAAATTAGGCTTTGCGTTCTCGTACCTCGAACGCTACAACTATCCCCCGAAGGGGTGAGTGGTGAAAATAAACCAACACGCGAAGTGTCGAGGTATATATCTAGCGCTGTTCACCGACCCTGAGGGGGATAGTGGGTTTAGTATTAACCAAATCAGTTGGATAAAACGGAAAAAAGGAACTTTTTGTAAATTGTCACTTTGTAGGAACTTTTTTTACACTTTTGTCAAGTGTATTCTACGATTTTGTTGCAAATTCAGTGTGAAAATAATTTTTTACCTACCAGTCAACACCGACAAGCAAAAGTTGGTCACTTTCTTTATATTTGTTTGTACGACTGCTATATTTATCGCACAAATTTCGTCTTCCGAAAATGTCTCGAGATGAGACGCCATCTGGGCTCCGGTCGCAAAACAGTGAATAGGAAAGGATATTCCGAGTTCAGCAGCGCAATTCTGTCTTGATTTCGAATGCGCACATCGGCCTAATTGTATGGCATTGCGCTCCACGAGTTTGTCATGGATGTTCTGGAAGATCGTTGGTGTAAATCTGGTTGGAATCCTCAGAACTGTTCGTTTCTTAGTTTTTCATTATTACAGTATCACTTGAAGTAAGTTATAGGGCTGAAAAGTTACTTCTACTTTTTAGCAGGAAGTTAACTTTTTATTCCGCGCATTTACGGGACTGGTGCTTTCATATACATGTTTTACAAGAGAGAACTTTTACTTTTACTTTGGTAACTAAGGTTCAAATATTTTAAAAGTAAATACCGTAAAGACCCCAATCCACCTGCTGGTTGCTTCAAATGAAAAATCTTAGATAAGAAATTAGCACGTGACATCTCACGTGTCACGATAATTTTCTCATAGAAAGAGAATGCCATAACTGAAGTTTCTTACAAAGTGTGATGGAATTATTACATGTACAAAATGGCGACGGCTTTTTTCTTACCAAGTGTGGCACGGTTTATTACAAATTACGTCAGGTATTACAAAGTGCCATGATTATTTCAAATGGCAACAGTACAACCAAATCCCATACTGGAGCTATGCCAAGGCGTTTACAGAAACCATTTTGTAGTACTCATTTTCTCTGGGAAAATGTAACGTACACTAGAAAGAAATATGACTAGGAGTTTCAATTTGAAAGTAAGGGCAGACGTTAGGGCTGGGAGACGCGAGTAAATTTCCAGAGTACAAGCAGATGATAAACTAGGAGCTGTATTTTTAGTAAATGCTTGTTTATATTTTTTAAAATCGTTTATTTGCTTATGGAAGTAATTTCGTATAGGTCAAGAACGGTTTAAGAGTGATGAATCCGGAGGAAGAGAAGATGTTTTTTATCTGTTTGGCTGCTCTACTATGTCTTTGTCTGCTCAAGAAAATTAAGGCATGGGTCTTCTATTTAATTCCTCAAAAACAGGGGGTGTCTAACTTCTTAAGCTTTCAATATAGCGGAAAATAACTTAAGGACAAACTTCCTGGGTAGAAGTTTAATAACTTTGAATGATAATTGGAGTCACTAATTGTCATGTAACCTATCAAGGCTATTTTTAGCACAAAAATCTTTTTGCCAATATGGCACCATTTATAATTACTTTCTGGAAGTTGCAGTTATCGTCATAGTTATGAGGCTAGTGGGTACATCATTTCTGTGTCCGGGCCTTTTAAGTTAATATTTTAGACAGCACCGAAATTCAAAAATCATTTGATAAGGAGACTGGGTACTAGTGCAAAATTCCATTTATTTACACTTGCAATGAATTATTCAACAAAGCCCGGGCACAGATGTCTATTCGTTCATCTAGGGACATTTTTGGTTGGAATTTCTTTGATTAGTAATTGTTTGTTTATATATTTTTAAATTTCTTTATTTGCCTACGGAAATAATTTCATCTAGGTCAGAACGGTTAAGAGTGGGGAATCCCGAGGAAGACAAGATATTTTTATGTGTTTGGCTGCTCTACTAAAAAAAAATGTCAACAATTTTTGCCGATTCGCGAATGGAGGTTGGAAAATATCGACACATGGATATTAACAGGTTTAATGTGGTGCTCGAAAAGTTTTCTTTTGACTTAGAGGTTTAACCCTCGGACGTACACGCAAAGTCATACCCCCACCGTGGTACAAGGGAGGTGTGTAGGGGGGGGGGTTGATGGACCCCCCTCTTGGGTTTTTGATATGTTGCAATATTTGGAAACGATTTTGCCTTCAGGTCCTTC